AGTGATAGTTTTAAATCACGCATAACATTCTTATAATCATCATTTCGCTGGGTTAGTGGAAAAAAAGGACACCTCGCATTTTAGCTAAAAAAAGGACACGTTGAAAATATTCATTTTATATCAATTTTAGTTTAGCGATACTATGTGTAATGTAATTGTTTTTTGAGTTTTTGCAACAGAAGATTTAAGAACATATTATCTTCATAGTTTTTTGAGCGCAAAATCTAATAAATCAATTACATTACACATATTATCGTCAAACAAAAATGCATTTAAAATTAATATTATCGAGCTGTCCTTTTCTTCAACTAAAAAGCGAGGTGTCCTCTTTTTGAACCAAAATTCGAGATGTCCTTTTTTCCAATAACCCAGCGATTTGTTATTAAGTATCTTTCAAAGGACGATGATCCAGAAGGAACAAACTATGTCTTTTTCTTCTTCTGATTTATGACTGATAATGCAAACCGATTTTTCTGTTTCCATCACCACAATAGAATCATCAAGAAATGCTGTTTTTTTTTGCCGAAAAGACATCATCGTATGTAATGCGCATACGCGTTTGATAATGATGATCTGTAACTTGGGTTTGACAGAAGTAGCAATCTTCTTGTTTGTGATACGGTTGATGTTACTATGTCATCGGAGTCGTAAATGAAAATGTAAAAAAACTTATTACGATTTGCACAATTCATGATCGGGTTAGGCCAATATCATACTTATTCGGAAAAGAAAGCAAATTCAGAAAAAAGGCAAGAACATGCTTATTCAGAATATAAAGTAAAAACAAACGAATTCGAAAATTAACCTTTTCAGGCAAATTTCAAATTATCAAGAATACTACAATTATATATCAATAATACTTTTCATATTAGAAAAACAAAATATTAAAAAAGTTATTCTCAATAAAACGAAATAAAAGTAATTATTCTTAAAACAATTGTACAAAAGTAAGATTTGAATATTGACATAAAAGGTTAATTTTCGAATTTGTATGTTTTTACTTTATATTCTGAATAAGCGATTGTAGTTCAACCGCCCGACTGAACCTTCGCCCGATTTACAGGAGCCCAAAAAAAAATTCCCGACACCTTTTGCCCGATTCCATAAGCCCGATGTTACGTTTTGCCCGATTCCATCTGTCTGATAGCACGTTTTACCCGATTTGTAAATTAAATACAATTCTGTCTTCGTCTTTGTAAGTGTTATAATCCATAGCAATTCGTCGCATTCGCTCTTGAATAGCAATCCAGGCTTTTTTCGGTTCTGCTTTTACACATTTTCCGAGATTCATGTCGATGATGCAATCGTCAGTGTCACTCTGCTCTTTTTGAAATTCTTTAAGGCAGGAATACAAGTCAGGGTGGTTTTTCCCGACGACCAACCTGAATCGATTGTGCCACCTTTCACTGATATTATTTGTTCGATGTAAACCTTGAAGGGTGGCCTCATACTGGTTTCATAATTCTATAGCATATCTTGGTGATACAGTCCTTGCATGACCTCGACGTGGACGACTTCTAACATAAGTATGATCGAAATAGTAGCAAATTAGAAGAAAGTCGTCTGGCGCGTTTTCGAGCACTATCTCAAAAGCTGAAACAACGGCATCGATGGGAACCATTGCAGTAGCAAGCAGCATATGTGGACGTCCACATGAAAAGGGCCCATATTGTCGGTTCTAGTTTTCGAGATAATCGCAATTTAGTAATTTTGGAGCAAAATCTTAATTTTTTTTTATTTCTTATTATCAATCTACATGTTTTGTCATCTTTAAGGTGTCCTGGACTGTAAACAATTCTTATCTAAATAACTTCGTAGAAGAACCAGAGATATTTATGTTACAGTCTTTTTTTTGTAATTGTCGAAATGAAAATTTGGATATTGCGTCAATTTTTTCATAATAGAGACTGACAAAACATTTTAAATAATTTTAATATCTATTCTTTTCCTTCAAATGACACAATAAAATTATACCCAATCATTAGTCTTGTAAAAAAATGGTTTTTTAATAGAAAAACTGTCCTTTTTAGAAAAGGGCCCATATTGTCGATTTTTCGTATTTTCATAATTAAGAGGGGGGGGGGTGGTTTTAAAAATTTAAAACCTATTGGTTTTTTATCTTTTAGGTACCCTGGATTGTAAACAATTGTTATCTGAATAACTTCCCAGAAGAACCAGAGATATTGATGTTAGAGTCTTTTTTTCGTAATTGTCGAAATGAAAATTTGGATATTGCGTCAATTTTTTCACAATAGAGACTGTCAAAAAATTTTAAATCAGTTTAATATCTATTCTTTTTCTTCAAATGACACAATAAAATTGTATCTAATCATTAGTCTTGTAAAAAAATGGTTTTTTAATAGAAAAACTGTCCTTTTTAGAAAAGGGCCCATATTGTCGATTTTTCGTATTTTCATAATTAAGAGGGGGGATGGTTTTAAAAATTTAAAACCTGTTGGTTTTTTGTCTTCAAGGTGCCCTGAACTGGAAACAATTATATCTGAATAACTTCCAAGAAGAACCAGAGATACAATAATTAGTTTGTATCGCAATCTTTAATTCCGTCTTTCTCGAAATGAGGTCTTTGGCGTTCTAAACTTTGAAATTCCGTAACTCAGCGAATTTTTAACTAAAAAAGTTCTAAGACCACTCAAAATTTTCCAAATTTTGCCAGAAATACGCCCATATAAATAACTCCAATAGTGCCAAAATGGGCCCTTTTCATGTGGACGTCCACATATGAGTGTATTTTTGTACTGTATTATCTGTCGTATCTTGATACGCTGTTTGTAACCCCTCACTTTGTCTTCGACGATAAAGTGATTGTCCTAAGTGAAAGAAGCAGTAAGCGATTACAGTGTTTGGAAACCATGAAGAACTCGCGATGATGATGGACAGTTCGAAATCGGATACTATTCGTTGAGGTCTGCAATGACGGAGGCCAAATTTGTCAGCTACAGTTGTTATTCCTACAGTTGTTGCTACAGTTGTTGCTACAGTTGTTATTGCTTTTAATACTGCTTCATATTGCGACGATGCTTTTGAAAATAACAATACATAAACAAATGGAAAGAGTGAAAACCTAAAGAAAATGAAAGAATTAAATACTTTAGTTAGTATTTTTTTAATTTAAATTTTTTAAATTTTTTAAAAATTAACCTGCGTAAATATGGCCGGACAAACAGAAAATGTTCTGTCTAGATACCAGGAAGTACTATTTGATAGTAACTCCAAATTTCTTCTGGAACCAAAAACTATGACTCTTCCAGAAGAATCGTCAAACTCTTCTTTATCATTTTCCGAATCGTAGAATAAAATAGGCTATCCGCCAAGTGTGTTCTGAAAACGGTCTGGAATTTCCCGCAGTTCTTCTAAACCATATTAGCACTAAAAAAATTTAATATTTCACTAAAAATTTTGTGTTGACAGAAAGACAGAGACTGAGAATTTTGTTTGTTATGATGTGAAGTTATAGACAAAAAACAGACGATCGTTGTATTTGAAATAAGAATGAATTATATTTTTATTTCATTTATTTTATTTTTACTTTCAATCAATATTATTAATAAAAGTAAGTTAAATAAATTATTTAATTTTATAATATTTCAGAATCGGGCAAAAGGTTCAGTCGGGCCGGGCGCATAGAATCGGGTTTTTGGTATCGGGCAAAAGGTTCTGTCGGGCGGTAGGAATCGGGCAAATGTCCTGTCGGGCTAATTAAAGATCGGACGTTATGAGTCAGGCGGATGAAGTCGGGCAAGTGGGCCGCAACCCAATAAGCACGTTCTTGCATTTTTTCTGAATAGGTATATTCTTGCTTTCTTTATCGAATAAGTATGATATTGCGCTAACCTGACGTCATATTTTATAGCGCTGTTTTTAAGCAACTATCAAGTAAATGAGGTTACCGTAACAACGTTTTTTTAACATTGCCATAACTAATTCTAATAAAGTGGGGCTCGTTAAACGCAGAATTTCATACTCTTTAACATCACAGACAGAGAAAAAATGTTTAAAAATTAGAATTTAAGCTTAAAATAACCGTTAAAGTTAAAAAATCGCGAAAAACGCTAATCTTCAAAGTTTCTTAACAATTTTCTTTTAAATAAATATTAATATTAACAAAAAACTCTATGTGGGTTAAAAAGCTCTATTTTTAGCTTTAAAAGGTAAACAAATTTTTAAAATCGGTCCAGAAATAAACATTTTACGAGATATACCAATTTTTCAATTTTTTGAGACCTACAACCTTTAATAGGTCCGATACGAAGTTATGCCAATTTTTTTTTGTAATATAGTGTGATTAATAGCACAGGACCACAAAATTTTTTTCGGGAAAGTATACATTGATGGCACTATGTGTTCTATACGTATTTTGACGCGCTGAATTCAAACCTGGGTCTACTTTTGCCCCAACACGTCACAGTTTTGAGATAAATTAAAATTTCTCCAAAAAATAGATTAAAATAGGAAAATATATTTTCAAATTTCTATAGGGATACAAGTTTTTCTTGTTTTTAAATTTTCATCTAAAAATATGTCTTACGCGTTGCAGCTTTCCCAATTCACTTACACTTATGATGTCATTATCCTGGATGTCAATTTTATCCTCTAAAACTGCTATCTTTCTTTCCAATGTATCATTTTTCTTTTTCAACTTACGATATTTTGACTTATAACGTAGAATATCTTTCGAAATTTTAAAATTTTATACTCTCACTTCTTTAATTTCTTTTTTCATTGCATTCGAGTGTAAAAAAATGTCAAATAATTTCTAATACTTTTTATGAATTATTCACCATTTTTAATATTAAAATTTTACAAGGAATTAAGTTAACAATAAAATTTTTAAAATGTATCTTTTTTCTTTTTCATGAATGGCGGAATATGAAATATGCTAACAATTCCACTTTATAGGAGGTAAGTGTACAGAATGAAATAAAAATTTATTTTGAATAATAAATGATCATTATTGACATATATATTTAAATTTTGTATTTAGGAACCGATGATGATGATGTCATAATTAAATGTGTCGCCACATTCGATAATGGTCAAGGAAAAATTGATGGCGAAAGGTATTTATTTTCTGTAAATTATTTTTAACAAAATGAAATTCTTTCCCTTTCAAAATTTATCTCCATTAAAAATTTACACTTTAAAAGACAATTAAACAAGTATTGTATGTCGGACGTGATAAACGAGAAATCACCAAGTACACTCAAATGCTTTAATGCTTCCCTTCCGGTGTAACGGCGTTTCAAAAAGTCGTGCTACATCTCTAAAAATGTTGTTAGTTCGTGACGTATGAACGAACTTTTACGTCACCAACTAACATATCTTTCCGGTTTAACGGCGTTTTGAAAGATCGTGATACATATATCAAAATATTGTTAGTTTGTGATGTATAAGTTCGTTCATACGTCTCAACTTTTTAAAGCGCCGTCAAACAGGAAGGAAAACATTAAAGCTTATGAGTGCACATGCCAGATATACGTGTATTTTAATCTATAAACTTAATTTTAATTTTTTTCATCTGTTTTTACAAAACAATTCTAGCACTGGTCTTATTAAAATTTTACGCTTAACATATTTAATAAGTTACCTACATAGCTTCTACTTTTCTTTAATTTTCTTTTTCTTTTGGAAACCATGTAATCAATGTTCTTGTGTTTATAAGTCTAATATTTTAATGGTATGATGTAATTATTCGGAAAATATTTGGTATTATTGTTATTCAAAGTAGATCAGTTTTCATAGTTTATAAAAATTAATTTTACAAAATGGATTTTCCAAATTTTTTGATAAATTATAATCTAACAAAGAATTTTATAAAATCTATTTGCAGATTTACAATATTAAACAAATTGTTAATTCAAATGTTCATTACATGAAAATTTTGCTTCCTCTTTAAGATCATAAAAAATATTTGGTTCCTTGTGGAGAAAGCATTAACATGCGTGGATTTTTCAGCTTTAATTGTGATTAATTTTCCAAATTCTAATACAGTTTATACTTTACATAGGTCAATCGATTTGTCTTGATGCAAATAATAAGATTTCATTATATAATTACTTCAACATTCAAAATTAAAACAAAAATTTCTGAGGAATTTTAAAAATCCTTCTTTCAGTTTTAAGATATTTGTATAATAAATATACGTAGGTGCGTTTAACGTAGCGATTTTTTTTGTTCATTTTATGAATACTTTGCTTTCTCATAAAGATTATTATATTAAGAATTTTATAAATGGCATTATTGTTAAATATTATTGCAAAATTTAATACTAAAAAAATACAAAAAGATATTTTGTAATTTTTAGGGGAGACTAGGTGGAGTTGTTACAATTTTGATAAAATCAGTTACAGTAATTAGAGTTTAACTCTAATTTGTTTGGTCATACGATTAAATCAAAGGTCTATTATCTAGATTTAAAAGGTCATAATTGATTTGGCTCTATATTTATTATTTAATTAACTAGAAGCATTTGAGTGACAGCGTGTAAATTGTAACAACTGCACAAAGTGAATTGAAGTGAATTGAAGACAAATAATTTTTTATAACAATTTTTATTGAATATTCATAATTTTTGGCTCGACGCAATAGTACGTGACAGTTCCATAGAAATGGCAGCACTAATATTGTTTCGAAATGAAAAAACTTTTAAAAGTTTTTTCTTTAATCTTGAAGTCAAATTTAGAAAAAACATGAGATTTTTCATAAACAATAGTGTGATTACATTTTTGACAAATATTTTACAATTCAAACGAATCTGCTGAATTTTGGCACAACAGGTACATTTTTTACCTTAAATCACTTTATTAAAAAAGTATGCACACAAAATGTGGACAACTAAGATAGTTTGTTAAAGCTATTTAAAGCATATTTTTTTACTTGTAAAGCTTGCATTTAATTTTTAAACATATTGCAACAAGTTGGAACATAGAAACTAAACATTTTTCCCTTTGGAACCCAATCTCTATAATTCACTGTTTTCAAGATATTCCATTTGTAACAACTGCACCAAGTCTCCCCTAATGTTTGAAATATAAATAACTTCGACTAACATGTACGAAAAATGTTTCTTTTCATACACAATACTAAATTTACACCAAGTTTCAAAAAAATCGACGGACTCATTGCTAAAATTAATATTTTAAAAAAAAATTGACTTAATAACTTTTATATTAATAATTTTCCAAGTCCAAGTTGAACTTAGAGAATAATATTTTCTATTTATTAAATTTTTAAATTTTTAAAGTTTAAAAGAAAAAAAGTCGTTTATACATCTTAAAGAAATCATTAGATTTGGCCCATTAGGCAAAGACATAGAAGATTTTTCGGACGTCTTTAAGTGACACATTTAAGGTCTCTTTTGAATCTTTTTTTATGAATTTTTTTAAGAGTTCTCGTTTATCTGCAGGGTAAAACAGTAGGATATTTTATAAATATTAATTTTTAGTGTACCGTACACCGTAAGTGTACCGACGGAGAGCTAAAATTTGGCACACTGCTGTATTTTAACGCGAATATTACAGGAAAAATACAGAGAACTTTCTAGGGTAGTTGCACCAGTGAAAGAATTGACACTAGTAAAAAATATTTTTTCAAAATATAGTTTATGGTAAAAGAAATTGATTCAATATGCAAGTTAATTCTAAAATTTTTTTTATAAATTTTTTTCGTGGGTTATGAACATGAGACATAAATGTATTTATTTTGCTTAATATTAAATTTAGCAAACCACTTATTTTTGTCAATTTCACCTTCAACTTGAGGAATATCGCGAATATCACTCCTTTCATATTTGTCACCATATACTAATTTTTGATTGAACCTTACATGTTGACTTTCATAAAATTTTCTATCTTTTGGCTTTAGCAATTAATATTCAGTCGGTGTATATCCTACTAATACGACTCTCCTTCCCTCTGCTCGAAATTTGGATCTTACTCGTCTTTGTACTTTAATACAAGCAATGCACCCGAATCTTTTAATTTGTTTGATATTAAAATTATGATTAGGATTAAATTTTTGTAGAGGAATGATCATATTATTTGATTTATGAGGGATCCAATTATACACATAAACAGCAGCTGACAATGCTAAGTCCCATTAATTTTCCGGTAATCGTGAATCATACATATATTAACAAAGCACCTTCTCACTCTAGAATTTTTTTATTGAAAGTACTGAATTTAAATCTTTTCTATCCTGAAGCTTCGCATCATGTGTTGTCTTAAATTGCTTAACGCAGTCTTTTCTGAGTAAATCTGTTAAAGTTCTCAAAGTGTCTTTGTTGCGTACCAAGCCTGGAATTGTACAGAGCGCGGTGTGTACAACGATTTTTGTACAAAGCGCGATTGGTACGGGTCATTTTGTACAAACTTGAAATTCCTGGGCTTTATACAGATATTCTTGTACTGACGGAGCTCGGTACAACGCGTTTTGTACAATGTTGTTAAAACTATTTATGGTGTACTGGGAAAACTAAAAAATAACTTTAATAAATAAATAAATATTTTTATCGAACAAATTATTATATTTCAAAATAGGTATTTTAAATTATTTTTTTATTCAAATTCAATTATTTTTATTATACAAAGTGCTACTTATTTGTACAACTCATTGAGTTGTGGCACTTCGAACTGCACAAACCATTTTTTTTCTACACGCACATTTTTAGTGGTGCACTTTTGCAAGCAAGAGCACTTTACAAAGCCTTGTCCTTCATTCAACGAAAAAAAATTATTATTTTTTGAAGCGATCTGGTTTCGGATGAACATTTGAGCAATTATTCCATCCTTTGTTCCAACTTTGTAGTCATTATCTTCAGTAAAATCGATTATAACACCTGTAAATAGTATAGATACTATATTATTTTATTATTACTTTTTTATATTATTTTATTATTGTTTTCCAATATATTACTTTATCATTATTGTTAATACTTTTTTATATTATTTTATTATTATTTTCTAACATATTACTTTATTATTATTTTTTATATCGACTTTCAATTAACATTTCTTTATTTTATAATTAATTATTTTCATTGTTACCAAAAAATATAAAACTTACCAATAAGATTTCGCAGATCAGTTTTACTTCTATCAACATCAGATATCGGAATTGTCACATTGTACCATGTTGTCAATGGTAAATGCTGAGCATCACTTGCTATTTTCATCCGTTTCGCTTGTCGGTCAAGCCTGTCTGCATCCAATTGCTGATTTTTATTTATATTTTCGGAGAGAAAAAACAGGGCTTTGTAGCACGCAGTGGTCTATGTCTTTAACGCATGGGCACTGCCTTACGGCGTAAGCACGAACTCGTACGATTGCAGCAAGAGCTCTTACTGTAATCGTACGAGTGCGTGCTTTCGCCGTATGGCATCGCCCTTGCGCTACAAATCCCCGTTTTTTCTCCCCGTTTTTTTTCTCCCGTTTTTTCTCCGTGTATTTTTTCAAAGTTTGCAATGGAATACTCGATAAATCCGAAAATAATTTTTAGAGAATTTCAGTAACTTTTATTTTCTTAGGTTTTAAATTCGTACAGACAGTAACAAAAATTATTTTCTGCTTTTATAAAAAAATTAATTTGATTAATTTATTATCTTTTCCTTATTTAATATATACTTTTCAATATTCATTGATGTCTACTTTTATGATTTCAATAAGAAAAACTGCTATATGTAGCTTGAATAAAAAAATTACAAATTCCCCTAAATGTCACAAACTTTTGGCCCGATTAGGTATACAATTCCTCCTTAAGATAAAGGCATCCTTATTTTGTATTTGCAAAAGGTAAAAATTATTTACTTTATTAAAACCTTTACGAATATAATAGCTTTTAAGTGACAAAATTATCGCAAGAATGGGTTAGAATTTTTCTGGAGGTTAGAAATTATATAAAAATTTTAATTCTTATAATTAATTTAATGAAAATAATATTATTTTACTTCCTAATATAATAGTATGTTTACAATTTCAGTAATGTATGACACGAAATTTTAAATGTCAGGGGCCAAATTCTTGAAGCTATGTGAGAATTCTCGTCTGCGATAAATATCATGTAATATACATCGCTTGCGACATTTAAAACTTATTCTTGATACGTCACGAGTGATTCAAGAATACCATTCATTATGTCGAATGCGTATATAAGACGTAGTTCAGACGAATAATGTCATAGCCAGTATTACATCTTATTATTTCGAGACATATCTTTCTACATCTTTTTGTACATTTTCCGGGCACGTTAGCCAAAGTTATTGATAATTGGAAAATTATAAATTAAAATATAACTTTTTGTGGTTTCTTGGTTCTAAATTTGCAATAATATATGTTAATAATGGGATTTCTAAAATTCATAAAATGAAATTTTTATGAGGAAGCAAAATTTTCGTAAAATGAGCACAAAAACGAGTTTTTACTTTGCAGCGATTTTATTATATTATTAAGCATTGATAGTCAACGTTGCTTTAATATTGCAAGGAAATATTACCTGTCAATGGTGTGTTAACATTACCAGACAGTGTTCCACAGGGTGGACGTAGTCAATGTTAACAATATTTATATGCAATGTTGTCACAATATTGAGCCCAAATGTTGTGCTATTTGGGAATCTAAAAAAATTTAAAAATTAACTTTTAAAATCAATTTATGAAAATATAGAATGTGGATTATTTATATTTATAGATTCAGGCACGCCTTGACAGTTTTCTGTGACAAATTCACGAACAAGGAAGTAAATGAAGCATTCGACCATTGTTTCATTGATGACAAGGGTAGGATTGATATTGAGAGTCTTATCAACATGTTGATTGGTAAAGAAGATGAAGATGATTAATGCTAAAGTTTTACATACAAAAATCGATTGCTTGCTGGTAAAATTTTTTCATATTTTCTTTAAAATAATAATGACTGTTCATGCGCACATAATAAGTGTATTTAAAAACATCATACCGACGGCTGTGATTTTCATAAACAATAATGACACAAAAAATAAGGATAAAATAATCTTTTTGACGTAAAAAATTTGTTATTTGAATATTGTGCTGTCGAAGAAAAACTTATTTCCAATATGACATATTCCCCAGCGGACATTGTCATTTCTTTGTATAGATACATAAGTTCTCACATAATTTATAAAACTGTATCTGTCATAAAATAAATTAATTGTAAAGATATCGTAAGACCAATAATTTCAGTTTTGTTATTTTATTATAATGTGATTTTATTTGTATTTCCTTTGAACAATTCAAGGATTAAACGAACTTACCGTAACTGATGTTCAATCGCAAATGGGACTGAACATTACTAAAGGTAAGCTCGTTCAATCATTTAATTTAATTTCGACTCCTCGTCCTTCTAGATCAACAGCATGATGTAAGTACTATACTATAGGTGTAACGTTGCACAGATCAGTTTTTTCATTTTTCTGCACCACTACAGTTTTTAAAAAATGCATTCTCTTTTTTTTATCGCATTTAGAACATTTGTCATGAGGTGAAGATTCCTGATGGGTCACCTTTCACACTTAAATTTAAAAAAATATTTAAATTTAAGTGTGAAAGGTGCTATAAAAGGCGGGTTGAATCGATATAAATTTGATGCATTCAAAAAAAAAGTTGCTAACTAGATCAGAACATGTTAATTTTTTAAATTGTTCATTAAAAGTAATTAATTTTCCATTAAAAAATAAATTTTTTGAACATGTTTCTAAAATTTGAAAGTTTATATTTTTCTATATAAAATTTTTATTAAAATTCAATAATAGGAATTGCATATATAAATTTAAAAAAAAATGCTACTCAAAAAGTAATTTGTTTATAACTTTTTATAATAATTGAATTTTTAAAAAATATTTATAACTGGTGTATATCTAATAGACTAGCATAGAAATATAACATTGAATTCAAATTTAATCACATGTGTGAAAATCAGGGGGCCACTTTAGGAACCTTCACCCCTTAACGAATTGAAAGGTATGGCTAAGAAACCGTGGAAGCGCGCAATCACGTTTTCTTTTTGCAAAACTTGTATGAAAGTAGTGGATACAATTCGGACATACAAGGAGATTTCTCCGTCACGTCAGTTCAGCTGGAATTAAAATTGTAGCATCTATTTGCGATGAGGAGAAATGCAATGAATCCGCGATTAAAACATTAATAGTTGACACAGAAGCTTCACAACTTGGAGACGGAATAATTCACATCGACGTTACCATTATTGTAGATAACAATGAAGTCGTCCATATATTCGATCTGACATATTTTCTAAAATGTATAAGAAATAATTTATTAACAAAAAATTTTAAATTTTGTTATGAGAATAAAGAGTAAGAAACTTCGTGGCAAGATATAGGTTGTTGGGTATAATGTAAATACAAGTTACGGTAATTTTAGGGTGTTGAGAAAACTTTTCGGATAACCACGTAATAATAGACAAAATTAAAAAAATAAAAGTACCATTTTGCGCCGAAGTATTTAGTAACACATTTAAGTCTTTTTTAGTGCAAGCTAGTTACAATCGTGCGAAAATAAAATGTGGCTTTAAAATGAGTAAACTAAAGGAAGAAGAAGAAGTGGCAGAAGTGTCAAACTAAAGGAAACTTAATCTATTTACAAATGACTTATTTCTACACAAAAGCCGATTGTCCTCATTAGAAACTTTGGAATATAGCAATTCGCGTTTTTCAAAGCATAAAATACATCAAAGTTCGTAAAAATGATCATGAAAGACCCCCATTATTAACCAATTGGATACATACTTTGAAAGGTTTTAAAATTTCACGAACAATGATGGCTGAGTATGGTTTTGAAAACTTCCGTGTACGCTTTTTTAATCAAGATCCTTTAGAGAATTTTTATTGTCAGATCAAACAGTATTGTTTTCGAAACACTAAACCAAATTGCGTCGCGTTTGCAAATTATTATAAAAGTTTGCTTTTCAACTCCCTCATTGATAATGCTTTGCAAATATCTTATACTGACAACTGCGAAATGGACAATTCTTCAGGTTTCCTTTCCGACGTTAAATCATTTAGGACATCAGATAATAGAAATGCATCTTATTCATCATGGGAATTACCTGCTTTACCAGCGAATTTTAATGCATGCAAACCAATAGATGGTCTAACAGCAACATTTTTTCAAAAAGTAACTGAAAAATTGCTAAACCTGATTGACAAAAATTAACATTTCTGCTTGTTAATTACTGCGATGAATGTTTACTTTTTAATTTTGTATTTTTAAACTCAGCAATAAAATTTTTTTTTTTAAATTTAAATTTAAGGAAATATTAAAATAATTAATGTAAATGATGAAACTCAAGTACGATATTGTAATCATAAACCGTGATCGAAATTGTTGACTCTCGATATATGATCCAATATTCCATATCCATGAGGACAAGATGAGTAAAGCTGTAGACAGTCAACCCCTTGTTTTCCCGCTTTCATAGCCTCGGAATAATCGTTATCAGGAAACGCTTTATGAATCGGCCTAAAAATACAAAAATTTTAGTTTTCATCTCTATTTAATGTATTGGATATTCAAAAAGTACGTAAATGGTATAATATTTTTTTTACTTGAAATATTTAAAATTTAAGATGTTTAATAGTTTATATATTTTTCTAACATCCTGCTAATGAGAAATAACTTCAAAAAATACAGCCATTTATAATGTACTCTAGTTTTCTAATTATACATAAACTGCACTAAAAAGTAGAACATTTAAAAATTTACTTCAAAAGGCTACATCAACGATAAAATGCAGAAGTATTTTTAAAAATTGAGCACTTTATTGAGGAAAGATCATCGGTCACGTACTTAACTGAATGCTCACAAAAGTGTAGAGAAGGGGAAATGGTTTCATTGTACCATGAAAGCAAAATCTTTACCATTAAAATTTGTTCAATTTAATTTATCCTATCAAGGATTATGTCGCTCTCTAATCAATTTAAAATTAATATTCATACTGATTAATAGGGGGGAATGGGGAGTTGTGCAACAACTTAATATTTGTCAAATGACAATTATAGTAATATGTTTCAACTATTGTTAACTTCTGTTTTCGTTAAAATCTAACTTTTGTACTAGTACTCGTCACCCCAACAAGCATTTACAGTGCTTTTCCAGATAGTAAGTTAAAATGTGATTCAAAAAGTTTTTTTGACACTTAGGGTTTTAGACATTTACATAAAACTTTTGAAGGTAATCAAAAATAATCAGAAGTTAATAACCATTCGATATACTAAATGCAATTTTGTATAAAAAATTAATTTTTAGGTAATTATATGACTGTTTTGAAAATGTAGGAAGTTGGGGGTTATACAACAACGTCATTAGGGGTTGTGCAACACACGAGGGGTTTTTCACTTTGCTGATTCGCAGTGATTCCCAAGTGACTCATCATGACTCTTGAATGACTCCTGCAAAAGTAATTCATGAGTGACTATTAGTCACTTAGGAGTCACCCATGAGTCAAAACGAGTCACTTGAGAATCAGCAGAGTAAAGAACACCTCGGCAACACATCAGTTTTAATAATTTTTTTAACTTTATTCTAATTTTCCATAAGCTTTGGTATTAATTATGAATGATTCAAAAGATTCATGTAATTATGCATGTAATTTAAATATTGTTCTTTAACTCCTTGATAGTCTATGGCACATATGAAGCCCATATAAAGTCGTGCCACCACGAAAATAAAATAATGCCTGCTGGAATTATATATTTTTATTTATTATCACGTGTAGATTACAGAAAAAATACAGCGTAAGGGATTGGAGTTGATCTTTACATTTTTTTCATTGAAAAACTAGAAATTTTTTACGATTTAGTAAAAAAGTGTTTACCTCTCCTGGCGCTTACAACTGCAGTTTTGCATTTTTTAAGTATTTTCATGTGTAGATTTTAGGCAAAGTATAGCAAAAATAATTAGAGTTGATCTTTATAGTGTTCTGAGCGAATAAATTGAATTTTAATGGAGAAAATGTCGTATTCTGAATAAAATTGATGTTAACTTACGCCAATAGTACTTCTAGAAGTTCGCCAACTAAGCCCTCTTCCTTTAATGGAATTTCAGTTGCTTCACATATGCTTCTCTTCAAACAGTCTCGTCCACTCAAACCTCTTCTGCAAAACAAATTCTTCGCTATATTTTAAAATCCAATTAATATTATAATTAGACAATTAAATTAATTCCTACTTTATAAATCGATTGCAAGGAATTATTTTTTCTATATCGATTTATATTAAATGAAAAAATTCTATTGATGGAAAAAATAGAATTATAACCCTCCTACGATTTTATTATTTTTTAATTTTGCAGGAAATAAATCTATAATTTTGTTAAAATTAATTTTGACTATTTCTTATTTATTTTGATATTAAATAGGGGAGTATAGTCGAGGTTGGACCACTGTCTAGGTAGGCCATTCGCGTTTTTTTGTCAAGTTCACTAGCGCCACCTACGCGCATGCTTGTCGAAGCTTGTCTTAGTAAAACCTAACTTTTTGTTCAATTGCATTTTCGGAGAATCGAAAATTGTGTTTTCTGTGACGTCGGTACAAAAAGAGCTTAAAAAAAGTTTTGTGCATCATGTGAAAAATCATTAATAAAAAATAAAAAAATATTGAATCGTCAAGGCAAGCATGCAGAAATTTTGTGGGACTCATGGTTGAAAGAAAACAAAGTGAATAATCGAATCCTGAAACGTATTTCTTTTTGTTTACAACAATTCGGTAATGTTACTTTCTGTCAAGGTCGGCCACTTTGTGTTTAAAATGCGCAAAGATGAGGACGAGCTACTTCATTTGCAAAAACTGCAATTCTGTATAACTCATAATATCATCATCTTATTAATATTTTTATTTAATTTTATTAATATTTCAGTGCAAAATTTTTTTTCATTTATATTTATTTTTTTATATTGTTTATTTTTATTATTTTATTATTTCATTAAGTTACAAACTGTAAACAATAAACCATCAATTTTCCGTAACTCCAAACATGTTATTTTTTCTACGATTAATGCCCTTTGAATTTTAAACATGGCCGACCTTGACTGTAAGGACCAACCTGGACTACAAATTTTTTTTTAAATCTTTATAACTTTTTCATTTTAAAACCAATCAATTTACATTCTACAGAAAAGATGTTCCTATTAAACAGGACTTTCCAACCATATACTTCAATTGTCCAAATTCATTTTTAAAAAAGTTATAAACAAAAGTCAAAAAGTGGGCCGACCTCGACTATGTTCCCTTATATTTTTCATATTCCTCAGAATATTTCCTATCAATTAAAAAAAATCAACTGAATTTCATCAATTTGAGACAAGGATATAAGGTTTTAAAGTATTGCGGCGTACAAATCGCCCGTGAGTGTATCGAACGTAAGTCTTTGAAGTGTGTACTTTAAAGGTTAAGAAACAAGTTTTAAGCAAAATAGTATGATTTTTTAAAAATGATTCCACGATATTGGATCCGCCATTTTTAATTTGGCAAAATTGACTTCAGATTCGCAATCAGCGACCTCAAAAATCCGTGAGTAACAACTTTCAAGGAAAAAAGTACGATTTTTGAAGATTGGATCCGCCATTTTGTATTTTGCAAAACTAACTTCAGATTCGTAATCAGCGACCTCAAAAATCCCTTAACTCCTTGACTGCAGATGGCAAAGATGTTTGCCATTTCAGACTTTGCTCTAACTGCCGGAAAACTGACAATCTTTGCCATGATAAAAATTAAAGTAAAAAAGTCAAAAATGGCTGAAATTTAAAAACGAAATGGTTTCTAAAATGTTAAAGCTATAGTGAATGTGACGCAAGTTTCCGTTTTTACGTTAAATAAATAATGAAAAAATTAAAAATTGTGAAAAACAACACTTTTAGCAACTTTTCAAAATCTTTGCCATGGGCAATACAATGCATTTTTATTTTAAAAATGTCTAAAATCGGTTGAAATTTGTTATTCGGGGGTTTTTGCGGTCGCTGATTTTAAATCTGATGTCGGTTTTTCAAAATTCAAAATTTCGGATTCAATATAACGGACGAATTTTTTCAAAAATCGTTCAATATAATTTAAAAATAGTTATTATTTTTATAAGATGACATAATATTGAAAAGTAGGGATATGTAAAATAATACAAATGTATGGGTGGTTTTTAAGTGTCTCTCTTTATGTTTTTTATGAACATCTTATAATCTTTGTCATCAGCTAGTATATTTACAATTAACATACATTCCCAGGATGCACACCCTAAACTGATGTCAGATTGGGTTCGAGAAGGTTGACAATATTTAGAATCATAGTTTTTTTCTTTTTTCTATTTTTTAAATTCTTGTAGTTTTTTTTGTTATTTACACTGAGAGACCTTTTGGACCGTAGCGGAACAACGTATGTGACGGCAGCTTTACTATGGTTTACTATGTGGTGTAACCTCAATATTTTTCTCAAACAATGGTTTCTTTTCAAAATACAAACAAAAAAATTTAGCAAAAATTAATAAAAATTTAAGGTTACTTAGGAACGATTAAATGTGATGCAAAAGGGTGGGCGCCAGTCCTAAAAGGACACTCAACAAAATTCACAAAAGGGACAAAACAGATTTCTAAATAATTCCGAATAAACAAAGGCCACCAGGCTAATTACCGGCAATTATTTAAATTGAATTTATTTATTATCGGCACACGAGGCCACCAGGCTAAGTGTCGATCAATAAATACAAAAAAAAATAAACATAAACAATATTCTCAAGATAATTTGATTGGCGATACACGACGACTACCAAGCTAAGTATCGACAATCCCACACTAATCTCACAATAATAATTTAAATCACGAATTTAATCTTCCTAAAATGTGTCCGGGCTAACTACAGTCCCATTACTTGGAAAATAGTAGAGGGGGTGGCTCGATGTCAAGATTCAATTATTTATTCAAGAAAGAAAAGACAAATTAAATGAATTTCCATAATGACAATTTATTAATCAAAATATCAATTGAATTTAACATAATAATTTTAACAGCGATTCTTAACAAAAAGAAAAATTAGAAAGAAAAAGATTCTTTTCCTTTCATGATTCGAGTTCTGAATAGCAAAAAAAATAAATTTGAAAAAGTGAGGTTATGATTAATTGATAATAAAATATTCAAACATTGATATCCATTTTTCCTCTGTAGGAAATCAAACGAAGAATTCTAAAGAATACCGTTAAAAATCATCAAGAAATCTTACTTTGAAAAATTGTTGACAACAAATTCCCACGAAACGCCAAACGACTCACTCCTCGGAAATATATCCCTCGAGAAATGAAACCAAGATCTCCGAATGAACGGCCCAACAAAATTGATTAATTTTTATTTAATTATTATTGAAATTTAAAAAATTAAATTTAAGCAAAGATAAAACTTTTTCGAGACAAAGCGTCCTTCTATCAAGAAACCCAGAAAAAGAATGACAAAATTACTATTGTTTATTATCCCCATGGAGATTTGTTGCCAACCAAAAAAAATTAAAGTTACTCTAATATACCATAATTCGCGATCATAATACAGTCTTCTGATTGGTGGATATTTCAAAAAGGAATCTTCCGATGAATCTTGATGGTGATTGAAAGTAGAACGAAATTTGAAAAGTAGAAACTTGATTATAGACAGAATAAATAGCTTGAAATGTTATTTGGAATATTTCTTCTAAAATGATGAATTTCTTCAAAAGAATTTGACGCTCGATGTTAGATCATTATTTTTCTCCTCCAATAGAATTATTTGTTGAATGAGAGATTAATGTTGAAATTCAAAAAGACTAATAACCACTTATGCATAAAAAGCTGGACTATGACGATCTTTCAGTCCCAAACTGACATAAAATCTTGAACAGAAACAGGTAATATGGGCCTTGTCTTCACGTAGCAATAGGAGTTTCAAATAAAGTTTGAAATATAATGAAACCTTCCAAAAGTAGAATGTTCTTGAATATTCCTCCAGGGAATTAAGTCAGTGTTATTTTCTAGATACTTGAAGTAGAGCTTGAGAATAATTGGCATTCCAAGAAAAATCCAAACAATTGGGTACGTCAGAGATATAAATTGAGATTCCAAAATTTAGGTTAGGTCAAATTATCCAAAAATTACTGTCCGATCACCAGAATAAGTCTTCACCATTTTCAATTTTCATAAAGTTGGCTCGCAAATTACATAAAACGAATAAAAAGGAACAAACAAATTAATTCTAAATTATTTAATAAAATAAATATTTTCAGAATCTCGAATCGTTTGGGAATTTTTGATTTAAGGAAGCTTTTATCATAAAGGTTATTCAACGAATTCAATAATAATTAATAATACTTGTGAATTGTAAAATATCAAATTTTACAACGTCACAGTGGGTAAGCAGCTTAAAGAAGTAGTGGGGATGCCGCTTTTGGTTTGCTGCTGAACAATTTCAGGACTGTCACGCGCCCAAAATTGTACCGCAGCAACCCAAAAGTATAGTCCTATAGCATATCAACAGAATGGTCAGCAGCAGCCTATCGAAAGTCTGCTGCTGACCTAAAGGTCTTGCAGTGTACATAAATTTCTTTTATAATTATTATTTAATTTGCGTAATTAATAGAAACAAGCTTATACACATTAGTATTGTAACAATTTATAAAAGTTAAAAATCGCACAAAGTCAATAAATAAAGGACAACTCTAAAATTAGGATTTATGATAAATTTCAAAACAATCATTGTCAACGTCCTCGAACCCAATTTGACATAATTGGGTGCATTCTGGAGACTTATGTTTTTAATAAATATACTAGCTGATGATAAAGGTTATAAGATGTTCATGAAAAAGTTAAACTGGGAAACTTAAAAATCACCTATACATTTAAATATATTTCAAATATCATTAGTTTTCAATATTATGTCATATTATAAAAATAATAACTATTTTTAAGTTACGATAAACGATCAAAAAATTTTGTAGTGATAGCCATTAACTTTTAAAAAAATCGTCCACCATATTGGATCAGTCATTTTGAATTTTTTTTTAAAATAATTGCAGATTCAGAAAAAGCACCGGCCTGCTAAACGTGCTTTTCTGTTATTTACATGTCTTGAGTAATCTATAGTCTTTTCAGCCTCTATGAAATTAGATAGTTGATTTGGTCGCAGCCTCCTTATAGATTGAGAAAACTTTTAAACGAACCAGTTTCTTCCTCTCATCCGAAGTTTATTTTTATCCGAAAGTATACGTATGTATAAATAAAATTTGTTACCGACAGATTAGCTCAGTCGGATAGATGCCTGGCGTTGGCGGTCGTTTAAGGACCAAGGATATAAGTATACTTGGTTCGCGCCCACTTGGCTTGGTATTTTTCCGGCACGTGAGACAATCTGAGCGGGAGGTTTGACGTCGAGGTATAATGATGTGCACCGTCGATTATTGTCCGGTACACACCATTAGAACTCGACTGTCGATAAACCGGTTGTACTCAGGAGAGGTTTTCTACAGTTTCCCTCTTCTCTGGCGAGAAAACCCATTGACGGGTGGTCCAGGCGCAATGCGAGTACTCCTAATAAAAGTCGGCTGTAGACGCAAATTAGATTAATATTATATAGAAAAATTTATGTAGAATGGTTATGCTTAATCCAAAAAAGTATTTCTCGGGGACTCTTGTCGAAGTGCGTAAGACCAATAGGGCAGGAGTATATACAATAAAAAAAAATAGAATTTGTTACATCTTAGTTTTACCTTTCGAATTCACAGGAGTGTAAACAATAAAAAAAATAATAAAATAAAATAAAATTTGTTAACCGATGGTATATTAAGGTGGTGAGACTCCGTGGCTTGCGATCATCGAGGTTAAGCGACATCCAGTGCGGTTAGTACTTGGATGTGTGACCGCGCTTCGACTCTCGCTATAGCCCGGTGTTTTCTCACTACTTTCGTAATATATCAAGCAGGAGTTTTGACATCGAGGTATAATGATGTGCACCGTCGATTATTGTCCAGTGCACACCATTAGAACTCGGCAGTCGATAAACCGGTTGTACTCAGGAGAGGTTTTCTACAGTTTCCCTCTTCTCTGGCGAGAAAACCCATTGACGGGTGGTCCAGGCGAAATGCGAGTACTCCTAATAAAGTCGGCTGTAGACGCAAATTAGGTTAATATAGAAAATTTCATATGTAGAATGGTTATGCTTAATCCAAAAACTATTTCTCGGAGACTCTTTTCGAAGTGCGTAAGACCAATAGGGCAGGAGTATATACAATAAAAAAAATAGAATTTGTTACATCTTAGTTTTACCTTTCGAATTCACTTTCGAAAAACTCGTAAACGATTTGACGGTCTAACGATATTCCATTCTCTCGACGACGCCGACGATGTAAAGTTCTTGAAAAGAAGTCGGTGAAAAATGATGCGTTTGGTGGTGCTGCATATTGAAATTGAAAATTTTGACCAAAGACTAAAGTTCTGCCTGGCAACGCAATTGGCACCGCAACTCCTGCTAGAAGCTGTAAAAATCACAAAGAAATGGGTAACAACATAGAAATTCTTTTAATTTGTTACTGTTATTGCTGCGTTAAAAGTAAAGGCATATGTCTCTTTAGTTTTAGGCGAGCGGCTTTCCTTTTTTAATTGAGCTGCTGAACTATAATCGAGCAGCAACTCAACCAATGACATTCGTCACCAAGATTTAAAAGAGCAGCTCGCCCAATTTTGAATAAGCTGTGAGATTAAACATTAAGTAGTAAATGACACAACAGTCATTAACGGAACTATTCACCCAACATATTTTTCAGTGTACTATTATTATAAAACTCCATTCAAATACGACAATATTTAAGCACAATATTAAGGTAATATTGCGTGGAAGGAAAGGAAATACAGTTATAATGTTTGAGGAACTTATTAAGTGTATATTCAAATAAAAATTTACAAATTTGTATTAACAAATATTTCAAAATGTCGGCACTGGAGCAATTTTTGTAATATCTATATTTTTCAGGAGCTCCGTGGCACGCAGTATAAGTAATGGAAATATTAGTCTAGGACGAAATAAAAATTCTTTTCTAAATGTACATGTGAATAGCTAGAGAAATACGTAGGGGATTTTAAAATTATTAATTTTTGTGTAACAAGCAAGCATTTGAATAAAAAAACTTATTTTCAACCAAGAAAGACAATTAATTGTTTATAACAATTGTTTAAATCAACATATATAAAACACTTACGTATTTCTCTTTGAAATTTAATTATAAAGATGTAGTAAAATCTATGTCTTACATATAAATTTCTTAAATAAGCTTTTAAATTTCATGTATCGACAGCACAGCTGTCCTAATACGGAAACCTGCTTTTTCTGCAAAATATTTTTCGAAATCAATTAGTAATTTCAAAATTATCTAAGAACTCAAAAATGCGGTTAAGGGTAGGCTGCTCTGACCACTACGCTACATGTACACCGAGATTCTTCAAGTTCCTTGACTCATATCCCATCATGCTACCGTTTTTCTAAGTTCTTTGTTAAATTTGAAATTATTAATTGATTTAAAAAAATATTTTTCAGAAAAAGCAGGTTTCTGTATTAAGACAGCTATGCTTTCGATACATGAAATTCAAGAGCTTATTCTGAGAAATTGATTCGAAAAGATTGTTAACTTCTTCCACCTTTAGTATTAGAAATTGTTTGAGTTATGCTGCGTGCCAATTTTAAAAACTGTATTTTGAGAAAAACGCTTTTATGGGGTAACACCACTGTAACAGTCTATAAAAAGCATTTCTTTAATAATTTGTTTTAATGCAAGAAAAGAATAAACAGTAATTATAAAAGAAACTTATTCATGATCAACATAAACTTTTAAAACTGTAAACACTTTATTATATTAGTAAAAAGTTAGATAGTTGCTGTTTCCATTTTATTAGCAAGGGGAACTTACTTTAGTTAGTATTAGCAACTAATAAATATTGTAACAGACAATTTTTGGTTTTTTTCTTTAAAATTATTTAATTAAACACAATGTTGGATACAAATGATGCCTCGGACGTCGGAGGTGCTGGCTTCGCTTCGTCGGATATAGGTAGGGGACCTCAGAATGATGAAAACCAAAAGATTCTACGAATCTACATTCCGACTCCGGCGGCATTTGATTGTCCATTTTGTATTAAAAAGTAGATTAACACCTCATTTATAAAAGTCAAGACCTTGAGAAATCACATTACCGTAACCATGATGCGATCGGTGTGGAGTGGGCATGCCTTACCTGTTTGAGAGATTTTTAATCGAATCATGCGTTGAGGGTGCATAGGCCAAAATTTAAGGGTCTCTTGCAGGCGGTTAAGGGCATCCGGGAAAAAATAATGGTTTCGTGATAGACGTCTCATTTAAAAAAAAAAGAATATTTTGAGTCGTGATTTTTTGGTAAATATAGAGAAATGCTCTGGGACCAGCGGTCCTCTCGGAATTTAGAGAAATTTTAATAAATAATTATTGAAAAAAATTCTTTAAATATGCGGAAAAAGAGGTTTTAAACGGTTCAGTATAGACGTCTCATTTTGAAAGGATAAAATATTTTAGGTTCATATTTAGAGGGGTGATAGAGGAAGACTCTCCGAGAAGCGGCCCTCTTCGTTTTTGCAATAATTTTGCGAGGAAATTATTTTATTAACGATTGAAAGTGGAGTAATTTGATATTAATACATTTCCTTAGTTCAAGTCGCGACAACTTCCGAGAATTGGCGCCACCTCCTTGACCTCTGACACATAGACCCACTTTTCTGTGTGCTCACCGCCATATTGTCCGAAACTTTCGCCAAAAATCCAACTTTTGTAATTTCGTTTTTCAATATTTATTTCAAAAATTACTTGCAAATTTCGAGAATATTCTTTATCATCATGAATTCACCTAATTATCATGATAAATCAGAACTAAATATCTCTAATTATTTAGGAGTGCGACGACACGCGGGAAAACACTTTTTGGGCTCGATTTTTCACGGATGCCCTTAACTTGGAATATGTGTGTGAGGCATGTGATGTCTCTTTTGCGACCCAGCGCGGCCTTAGTGCCCATGAGCTGGGCATACGAATAGAAGTAAATGAAAGACCGTGTGATGTAGGAGGTGCTCCTCTAACTACATTTGAATTTGTCTGAATTTGAAGTCTCTGAATTACTCCTTCTGATACCAAGGTATTGTGGGGCAAGTTACATAAATAAAAAGTTGGCTGCCTATCTGCCCAACAAGACAATCTCTCAAACTAATACAAAGCTCACAAAAGAGGCGAGATTTATTTGCTAAGTGACAAGATTTATTTAAATTAATTCCATCGAAATTGGCGGAAATCGTCATCTTCAGTGACGATTCCGAACTAAAGCCGAGACAGCGTCTACCGGCTGCTGCTGCAGTCAAAGATCTGTATGATCAGTTATGGGGGACGGCTGTTCCAGAAAACAACATTATATGTAATATTGAGCGAGCTCCTTTGCCGAGCGTCATGCACCCATAACAGTGGATGACGTTCGTAAGAGGGTGCGTCGTTACTATAAGAAATCTGCTCCTGGCATCGATGGCATTTTGTTAGTCAATCTAACTAAAAAGGGTGTGGATGAGATCTTGTCAAGACTCTTCAATCTCATGCTCTACACCCGATATTTTCCAAAGAGTTCGAAAATAAACAGGACAACTCTAATCCCAATGATCGGGGATTTAAATGATGTCATGAACTAGCGACCGATCACCGTCTCTTCAATGGTAGCGAGGGTCTTCATGGGACTATTGGACCAAAGAATAAATAAAATAACGAGACTTTCTTGAACGCAGAAGGGCTTCACAAGCGAGAAGAAAAAAGACGGATGAATTTTATTTGTCTTAGATATCAGAAAAGCATATGCTACAGTAAGTCACTGCGCCATTAGAAAATGCCTTGTGAGAGCAGGTGTGCCTAACTTTCTTGCGGGGTATATCGAGGAGGCTTACCGTGGTTGTTGTTCTCTAATAACAGCAAGAGAACATGCAGTGTCAATAAAATTTAACAGATTCTAATGGTAGACAGGGAATCATAGTATAGCGAGCTCCTAACTTGTGTATGCCTTTATGGTTTCCAAGAGGGTTATTAACATCAAAATCGTCAAAGTAAAGAAATAGTGGAATAACGGTCTTTTCGGGAAAACAAGATTTAACTTTGTCTCGCAATAACTTTCCTTGTACAAAATTTTATATTACATCAGTCTCTTTTCCAGGCTATCGACGTATTTTAAAACATTCTTTAATACATTTGGTAAACTAAAGAAGACATGAAGTACCGCTCTTAAAAATACATATTTATAGCTTTTATCAAATATTGATCTTTAATCAGGCGATTTTGAGTTAATTTATTATCCATTGTATCATTTATTATCCATTTATTATCCATTATCCTTTGCATGAATGAAATAATTGGTTTCATTTAAAAACTTTAAAACGTTTATGCTCACTTAAAAATGATTCTAAAGTATTTTTAACGGCGTCTAAAATACTATTAACAATTTCGCAAGTTTTACCACATGCGGCACAATCCTTATTATTGTTTTCGTGTGTGACTGTCTTTACCGATAAACGAAAGGTAGGGGGTCACTTTTCCTAAAAAAATTTTCCCAATCCATTTTCTTCAAAACTGTTTCTTAATGACTCGTTTTTAAAAAAAAAATTAAAAAATGGTTTTCCAAACCAAATTTTTTCAAGAAATAATTTTCCCAAATTATAACTATTATTATAATGTTCCCAAATTATAACTATAACAAACCAAATTTTTTCAAGAAATAATTTTCCCAAATTATAACTATTATTATAATGTTCCCAAATTATAACTATTATTATAATTTTCCGAAATTATAACTATTATTATAATTTTCCAAATTCGAATTCTTCGTATTTTTGTATTTCATGCGATACTCGTCATTTTTTATATTTCATCCAGTGACAAAAGTATTACTCGCTGTCCATAGAATCCGTATTAATATAAATATAATTATGATTGATTAATGTTAAAAACCTGATTTAGTTTTCGCTTAAAGTTTGTCGAATCTTAAAAAAGATTCAGATCAAGATTTGGATACATGTGATTAAAATCTATTTCCAGTAAGGTATAACCAAGAGGCTGACTATGGACTGCAAATTTTTAAAAGTAATCAAAAATTGTTTCTAAGTTTTCTTTGTCTTACATTACTCTTCTGCGGTGGCATCTTCATAAATCGCTCAATCAAAGAGTTTGTCAGCTTCTCTTAATAATTTTCTGCAGTCATTGCCTTCAAATACCTCTCCATGATAATTCTTTGAGACTAACTTTATTTTTAAAGACGACAAAAGAGCTGTTTCTTGAACAACAAGGTGCACTAGACCATCTCAAAATAAGTGATTTACAAATCCTTGTAATATATGAAGTTCCGTAATTATACATTTATCAAGTTCTTAGCTAACTTTTTATTTTTGACGAAAGAAATAAATTTGTAATAATCGTTTCTCAACTTACCATATG